TGCTCGTCGCTGAGTGACTGTGGACTGGGCGAGCAGCGAGGTCTTTCTGATTTTCATCCCTCTTGTCAAACAAAACTTTGGAGGTCGTAGGCCATGCCCACTGAAGGGTGCCTTCCTAGCATCTGGTACGACCGGCCGCCCGCCCGGGAGGTGGCACCGCGAGCCCGCCGCCCCTGGCCGCGAACTCGATCTCAGCCCACCGCTAGGTGGCAGGCCAGCCCGTCCGAGAATCGCCGCGCTGCCGCAGCTTCCACTCCGATCCCTACCCGCCCCGCTTTATTTTCTGTCTGGTGGCGGCGAGGGTGGGGGTGGGATTGCCTCTAAAAGCAAAGCTGGAAAACATTTAATTTAGTGGATGTCATTCCGTTCTTCCCGACGCTCCCGCCTGTAGCAACCACAACGCGGGCATCCGGAGCGGGTTTCATGTACTATAAGTTGATTTTTTTTTCCCCCCGGAAAAGCTTTATGTACTGGAAAGGGAAAGTAGGTGCACTTGTCTTCAAAAGGTAGAATAGCACTCGATGGCATCGGCAGAGATTTTTGCCAAACACTGGTCTTCCAGCAAAGAAAGTCGGGAATAAACTCCTGATCGTCTCGGAGGAAGGGGGCACTGGGGGCCGAGGGCGGGGTCCCCACTCAGGCTCACGGCTCCGGGCAAAGCGGGGAAGTTCTGGGGAGTTGGGTGTGGGCTTTTGGTGAAGCTGAGGGTCTCGGAGTAGACATCGGGAGGGTTGGGAGGAGCCGCTCCTGGCCTCCACACCGGCCTGGTTTGCCACTGCGCTGCACCCTCGCTGTGCTGGCAGCGGCGGTCCCACTTGTTGCGCAGTGCTGGAAAGCGGCACGCGCCATTCCATGTTGACTCACAGAGGGCTGCAGACCAGCCTGCCACTGCTCCACGCCATCCACAAACCTCCTCAACACACCCCTACACACACGCCCTACCACCGCCGGCAAAACTACAGCACTTCCAGCCACTCTGATGTTTTACACCAAAACATCCCGCACGGTCTCGGCATCAGGCAGGCAGCAGAATTCAGATGCCCGGAGAAGTCATTCCGAGGGGAAGGGCGGGCTACCTCCGCCTGGAGAACTCTTCTACTTACAGTCAACCAGGCACCCTCCCCGCCCCCAAATATATATACATATATCAGAACCACGTTGCCTATTATAACACCATCCTAGTCGGAAAGCAACATTTTTCTTCCGTACTTGATAAACTGCAAAGTCCTTTTTTTTTTTCAATTAGTTTTATCTCCCTTATTTTTTCTTTTTTAAATCTCTGGGGGGGAAATAATGCTTCATCAGGTCACTTCCCAATATTTCCCCAAAATCGACTTTTGCCAATAGTTTCACCTACCGAGGGGTGGCGCTGCCGCACCGCCTCCTCTCAATCTCTAAGTTTTTCACAACAAAGTGGGTTGTGAGTGTGACTACCCTGCGGGGGATAGAGGGAAGGAAGGGTTTTGACATCTATCCATGGCTACCATTTACTCAACCAATAACTGGAACTCTTCAAGGGCTCAGCAAACGACAACTTAAGAATCTAGAGTCCCATCCCTGTCCACCAAACCCAGAATAAATTAGTCTTTTCAAGAAAGCATTGGGATAACACCCTTCAAAACTGAAAAGAAGAGGAAAGGGATAATTGGAGAATTCCCACTTTTCCTGACTTTCTCCCTCCAGTCGCCTAGTTTTGATGAACAGCATCTAGGTTTCTTGTCACTATCAACAGATCCTTAAAACTAGCCAATACTTCAGCTTCTAGTATTGGAAAGTCTTCCAAATAGGATACTGGAAACTTCTATTTATGAACTTGGGGTGGGGGTGGGGTGTTATTTCCCATCTACAGGTTTCTATTTTGGCCCGAAGACTCAACTGCAGTCATTAGAGTAAAGGAATGCCCATCTCCTGATACTTATTCGCCATTTCCTCTTTCCCCAGAGACAAATATCTTTTTCTCGTTTAAAAAAAGTATATATTTTAAAGCAATAATGTGATTTCATCTCTCTCCTTTGAGTTCGTGTTTGCTACCTCCAGGAATAGCGTGTGGACTAGGGCCAGATGAACTTCAACTTGGGCTGCAGATTTACGAGGTTCTGTTCCAGTGCCAAAGGCTCTTGGTAGTAAATAGTGAGCAAAATAGATACCTGTCTCCTGATGGATCCTGCCGCCCCTCTTTTTTTTTTTTAAGTTATTTATTAAAACCACACACACCTTGCAAAGAAAAAGGGAAACTGGCAGTCTGTGTAGAGGAAGCCCGTGGCATTGCTCAGAGCCACAAACTGTATTTCTAAACAGCCCTTTCCCTGGTTCCCTCTCTCCTGCCCCACTTTTTTTTTTAATCCAGACTGTAAAAAACACAGCTACTGAGACTCACTTTACTTTAAAACGAAGAAGAAGAAGAAGAAAGAGAAGAAGAAGAAGAGGAGGAGGAGGAGGAGGAGGAGGAGGAGGAGGAGGAGGAGGAGGAGGAGGAGAAAAAGTAAAGCGTTACAAGACTTTCCTCCTGGAAACTATAAACTGATTGAAAAAAAATCCATAAAAGATTAAATCCTGGCGGGTTGTGGGGTGGCGGGTGATGGGAAGGTGGGAGGGGAGTGGAGATTGGCTCGCTGAGGTGGTCAGGGGCCCTGTAACAGCTTGGGACTTTCAGCACCTGGTTTGGGGTCATTTATCTGCTCAACTGTCAGGACCCCCCACCCCCAAAACCCAGCCACCAACTCAACCATCCCGGGAGGGAACACAACACAGAGGGTCTTTTTTCTTTTTTTTTCTTAAATCGGTTTGGTTGTGTTTTTGTTTTCCATGGGGGAGCTTTAAAACTCATTATTGCAACACTAGTTCCATTTTTCGCCAGGGTTCCAATAACACGGCATCATAAAGGCAACGCAACCCACAGTTCTCAAGACATTTACCACGGTCACTACATCCGGCAGTGGGGTGGCCCCTAGCTCCTGCTGCCCCCCCGCTTCTCCCCGCCCGCCCCCGGAGCTCAGCCGATTTCTGAGGCTCCAACTCTGCCCACTCCCTCCCCGGGCCGCCGCCGCCGCCGCCTTCCCCCATTCTTACTCCCTCGAGGAGAGCCACAGGTTGCAAATCCAACCAACCTCGCAATCTATTTTTTGCAAAATCACTCACAAAGATCTTCCTTTCGCGCCCGCGCCCGCGCCCGCTCCTCCCGCGCTGGGTCCCCCCCAGCCAGAGCCACAAAGTGCCCTTCTCTCCTCCCGAGTCTCGCACAGAAGGAACGCGGGCTGGGGCTCGGTTCGTCTTTCTCCTCGCCCAGGGTAGGGACCGCGGGAATCTGACGCCCGGCGTCCACTACGCTTAGGCCCGCAGTTCCTTTTTTTACAAAGCTCGCACCATGGGAAAATAAAATAAAATTTAGGAAAGGGAGGGAACAGCCATTGGGAGCCAACACAGAGTCACGCAGAGCCCAAAATACAAACACCGCGGCGGCCAGAAATCCCGCCACCTTTCTCGTTCTCCCGGGCCGTCCTGTCGAGGCGCCCTGAGTCCCCCCGCACGCCGAAAGGCACCGCAGGTGCAATGCGCACCCCTTTCCCACCCACCCCAAGAAGCCCTGTCCCGCCATCAGCCTCTCTCTCCTCGGGATGAGCAGGGAGAGCGCGCGGAGCTTCCCGACTCCCTCGACTACAACCAAGAAAGAATAATTTTCAAAGTGTTCAACACCCCCGCCCCCAAGCTCCCCAAAACACAGGGGCAGGGGACACCAAAACACTCGTCTCTCGTTAGGAAGATCAAGGCTCTGAAAGGAAATAGTAGACACGATACTTCATCTCATCTGGATTTATGACCAAAAACAAAAACAAAAACCCGAGGAGTTCGCTTGCATTTTTTCCTTCCAAATCTCGGTTCGGCTCGAAGGCAGGGAATCTAAAGGACCGAGGCCGGTGGAAGAGAGCCAGCGGGGCGAGCGAGCGGGCAGCCTCCCTTTTCGCCTCCCGGAGTTACCCAGAAGGACAGGGGAAGGGAAGGAAGAAGCGGCGAGGAAAAAGAGGAGGGAGGGAAGGCGAGGCCAGGAGCGAGGGAGCAAGAAAAGCAGTTTGCAAGCGAGAAAAGAGGGAAAAAACACAGCCGCACGAATCCAGAGAGAGCACAAGCCGTACGCAAGCAGCAGCAGAAAGAGCGAGAGCGCGAGCGCGCGTCCTCTCCGCGGTCCGGGGCCAGACAGCCCCCAGACCTGCCCGAATCGCCCCCCAAGCACTGTCTCGTCCTCTCTGCTCCGGCCGCCCCCTAGTTCCCCTCCTTCCTCTCCTCCACCTCCTTTCCAAAAACCAAAACAGCACAAGGGAGGGTGGCAAAAGCCTCCCCAAACCGGCCGATTCACTCAAAGACAACAATAATAATAATAAATACATTTTTAAAAATCTACATCCTAGAGTGGGAGAGACGTGGGACTAATCTTCGGCATTTATTTTAACACCTGACAGCTAGAATAAATAAATATATACATTTATATCAATAGATACACATAGAAAACTTGGAGCCAAAGCATTTGGCAAGAGCGGAAAAAAAAAGAATTAAAAGGTAAAATAATGATCATGAGCAGCGGCGGCGGCAGCGGCACCAGCGGCAACAGCGGCGGCGGCGGCAGCAGCAGCAGCAGCGGCGGCAGCAACAGCAATAATCACCTGGTGTCCGGCCTTTCCTAGAAACTTCTTGCATCACCACTTCTAAGAACCCCAGTTCTAAGAATCAACAGAGCTCAATTCTCGGAATTTGAGCTTCAGACTTTACCACTGCTACGCGGCAGGGGAGGACTTGGTGTCAGCTCGCCGAGATTTTTGCTTCCCCTGGCCGATAAAAAGCCCTCAAAGCCACAAGATTTTTTCACTGGCCTGCATATTTCGAGGTCCTCATCAGCAGAGCGTCTCGGATTTGGAGGTTCTGGTTCGAGGCTGGAGGGGTTTGAATATGGCTCTCCCTCCTCGGACCCGTGACGATGGTCTGGCCTGCTCCGCCACCGTCACGTGGGCTCCTCCTCTGTGACGTCGGCGCCTTCGCTGTAGCAAAGCTCGGCCTCTGGAATTCTGAGAACTAATTTGCTATTCGGTGACATAAGAGGGGGAGTGCGCTTTGCTTTCCCGGGGTCTGGGGCTAATTCCTCCTCTCTTACCCATAAACTCAGCTCCTTGAGCTAAATGCACAACAGGGAGCGAGAGATTTGAACCACTGGAAAAAGTATCTTATATATAGTAGGGTTGGAGAGGCGAGTAAGAGGGAAAAAAAAAAAACAAAACAATAAACACCACAGCTCTTTCCAGCTAGAATATTAAGCACCACGAGAAAAATATTTGCCAAGCAGTTTTCGGTGGGTTCATTTGCTTTATTTTTATTTAGGACAGGGGTTTTTGCTGTTGTTCTGGGGTTTTTTCTTTCTGGTGTGGTGGCTTGGGATTTTTGGTTGCTGTGTTTTGATGGTTTATGGATTTTTTGCTTCTGATTTTTTGCCTTTTGCAAGTTTGTGGTGTTACGTAAATCATAGGATCGGCATCGGTTGGATTTTTTTGTGCGTGCCTTTTCTTTCCCTATCTAATCTCTCAAGCGTTTTAAAGAAGATGTATTATTTCGGTACTAATACTATTGAAAGAAGCTTAAATTTTTGGCCATATGTAACAATCCCAGCCCCCACTTCTATTTTTGACCCCCCCACTTTGGTGCAAATTTTTTCCCCCCTTGGACTTTTGCTGAAGTATGTCTCTCCTGTACTTGAGAGAAATGTTCAAAGGATTTGTTTTGGTTTGGTTTGTTTCTTTCCAGGACAGCAAGTGGTGGGTTTAATCTTTCTGTTATTGTTGACTCTTGGGAAATTTCTTGTTGCAAGAAACGTGTGTGTGCGTGTGTGTGTGTGTGTGTGTGTGTGTGTGTGTTCTACAAAATTCTGTGAGCCAAATACCTGTTTGTGTTTTGTTTTCTCTTAAGGTCTTGCTTTATTTTCGGGGCTCGTTTCAAGGTCGTTGTAAAAAATCTCTTCAGTCTGTGTTTAAGAGATCAGCCGGAGGGAATTCTAAAGGCCTCTAAATACAGATACTGCCTGTATTTAGAACAGACTGCTAGAACTACAACGCACTACACGCAGCACGGTGATCTTAGCTTTGAAGCAGAGTTGGGGGGGAAGAGAAGAAGGGGAAAATGTTTCCTTCTCTTTTTCTTATTACTTTCTTTTTAAAGGCAATTGCAGTGCAGAATCATTTCATTGTGGGTCCTAGTTTGTTTGTTCAGAGCTGCTAGTTTCCTTATTTAAATGTTGGTTGGGGTTTTTTCCCCTCCTACTCATCCCTGAATAAGGGAGACTCTTGTTTCTTTTATGCCTGTCTCTTAAAAGAAGGGTGTGAGGGGAAAATAATATTTCAGATTCCTCAAGAATAAACCCAAAATGTTTGGACCAGAAGCAGCTTTCAAAGGTCAGGCTGTTCTGAGCCTTGGCTATGAGAGTCCTTCAAGCGACTTATTAAATTACGGATGGATTCTTAAAGGTTCCACAAAATCTCATCACATGTTAACTTCTAATAAAGATATGTCCTAAAATAATCTACCTGTTTCAACCCCAAATTTGGGTTTATAATGGAGGAGTGATCAGAACTGTGAAAGATTGCTGTTTGCTGGGATATCTGGGATCTCTTCCACTGACAGTCCCGTAAGAAGTTTCATCTGTCACTTAAAATACTGTTGGTGATGCACCCCCACCTCCCCTACATACACACGTTTTTAAAAAGGCAGTATTGTAGGTTTTAGACCTCAGGAAAGTGCAAAGAGGTTGATTATTTTCCACAAGGGCTGGAGCTTAGGAAATATGCATTAAGTGTCTGTCTCTGTGAAATCTGAATATTTTAATACTTATTGACAGATGGATTACTGCAGCCTCTGCAGAAAAGCCTGTCTTGTGAAGGGTTTTTGAAAAATATACATAGGCCTAATCCTGTCACTGTTGTTGAAATGTACGCTTTACCCCCAAAGGCACATGATATTGTCAAGTTCAGATTTATTCTGCCAGAAGGCAGACTATCTGCTTTTCATTTGAGTCCCCTTCCTCCTCATTTTCAAAGAGTTTAAAATGAATCCCACTGGATGCAAAATGACACCCTAATTTTGCAGAAGGGATTTTCTTTGTGTGTTTATATATGTGATAATTTCTTCTTTTATGAGCAATTAGCACTTTAGGATTTCTCAGATGTATCTCTATGGTTCGGAATGTGAATTGCATGGCTCTGCCCTATTATTGGTCCTTCAAAAGATTACTTTTATGATTTTTGGTCACTTTTTTTGGTCAAAACTGCCATTCAGTCTCATCCACTGTCCCCCACAACCACACACACAGCTTGTCACTCCTGTGCTTCCCTTGCCACTCCACTCTTAGCCCCATGGGGGCGCTGCAGAGCAAAGGGAAGTCTGCTCCTTAAGGCAGTAGAACCAGCCAGAGTGGGGGCTGGGAAGGAATTCACCCTTCTCATACCTCAGCCCTCTCTAATTCTCTGCACCCGAGCCCCTAGAGGGAGAACCCACCAGGCCTGGTTTATAGATAATTATCCTCATCACCAGGGACCTCAAATCTTCCAGGGAATTATTTCTGGGACCAAGTGCCAGAGTGCCACATTTTTCTACTGCCTTTTGCCAAATCAATGTGTTTACATTGAAAGAAATTGACCGGAACTGAAGACCAGTTAGAAAGAGAAAGAAAATGATGATTGAAAATTTTCTAAAGATACACACTTATTTTTTGATGAGTCTCTTTTACTTTCAACTGAATGAACAGTGAAGAAAACTGCACCCACCTCTCAATCTTTTTTCAATTCCTAGGAAAGTCACTTTGTCAAACATTGTACCAGTTGAATTTCTTCCAGAATGTCATTTCTTCTTCCATTCTTGACCTCTCCTCAGCATCCAGTTGGCATCACTATGTGGGCCTCCCTCACTCCTGCAGTGCTGTGTTACAGGATTAAAGAAAGGGCTGACTTGAATGTATTCTGATTCTTTTAAATCATCCGTAAGAAGCTCTAAAGAGTGATTCCATGTCTGGGGTCTTACGAATAATTCCTGCAGACTTGGGGGCACTAGTCCCATGATTTAATAGGTACTGGCTGTTAATACTGAGAATAGAGGATCAGGCCAAACTCTTTGCCTCGTGGACTGGGCATAGGTCCCTGATCATTGCTGCTGGGTAAATATAAGCTTTATTACAAAATAAGTAACCTGGTCCTTTCCATCTATTTAAGAAAAAGAACAGATTTCACATTCAATTCCCCCTTGCAAAACCTTCCCCGCAATTCAGTCATAGCTGAAAAAGAACCTATCCTTAGAATAAACACCGTTCTATCCTCTTTCTGAGGGGCTCACAAGAGGAATTGGTTTCACCTGTAAGGAACCTCTGGCACCTTGGTAGGTCTTTAAGCTATCACAGCACAGGACTATAGATTTTAAAACTGGAAAGCATTTTTCAAATTAGTCATCTTTCCTAGGCTTTCTTCTTTCAGGATTACAGGCTGGGCCTTCGATAGGAACCTGTGTGACCGCAGGAACACAACTGAAAATGGGTCTGCATGATTTGCTGGCCCTCTGTCGTTTTAGAGGATCGGGGTAACCTGACAACTTGAGTCTGTAGGTGGGTATCTTGTTTCCTTGTAGAACTGAGGAAAGCAAGGCTGCTATGGTCTCTTTGTAAACGGTAAAACTCCGCGCCAACTCCAAGTCATGATGAGTTTCGATGGTCATTTGGGTTTATGTATGCCTGCCAGCTACATTGCAGTTCGCGGCTACTTTGGATAGACTGGGGAGGTATTATCTATCTGCCTTGTTAAATTTTACCATTTCATTTTATTTCAAATCCTTCATTTAGAACTGTTGTAAACAAGCTCCTTATAGTATCCTTAAAGAAAGAAAGGCGTTTTTAACATGGCAAGATGAACAGAAAGTTTTGAGACATTAAAATAATGTATAATTTCCAGCCACCACCTTCTGAAAAGGAAATAGCAATGCTTAATTTTCATCCATACGCTGCCTACTGTTTTTCTGAGATTTTTCCCCCCTTTAGAAACCTTTTCAGCCTGGCTCAGACTTTACCCCAAACACTAATTTTCCACACTTTTCTCACTCATTTAAAATGGAAATAAATATTAGGAGCTTAAAATAGAGAAGTGATGGGGGTTAGGGGGTGTGTAATCATTTGTTTATTGCATTCAGTCGCTGGTTTGAATAGCAGGGTTTTCACTTCCTATGAAACCTTAGCATGAAGGAAAGCAGCAGCTGGACTCTGAGAGGGATGAGGGAAGGAAAGCACTTGAATGTGTGTAAACTCTAGATGGCTGGTCCACCCGCTGCTGCCGCTGCCGGGCTGCTGGTGGCTGTACTTAGCTGTCTCTACTACCTAAGACTAGAAGTGGAAAAACTTGATTTGCGTGTTGTGCCTGCATTTTTTTTTCCCCTTTCTTCTGCAGACCGCCCTCTTGTACACCTGACCATGCAGAAGCCTATCTGAAGCCAGCTCCATGGCAGGGAGAGCTGGAGAGCGGAAGAATGTACGGAGGGAGGGAGGGCTCGGTACTTTTCCATTCACATCTCCACAGTGGCTTTTCTTGTTTATTTCACCCTCCACCCGCAGGAACCTTTCAGCTGCCTGAAATTTGAGTCATTATACTGTTACCTGAGGTCAGACGACAGACACTTTGGTGCACGCTTCCTACATATCAGTGTCTGTGTAACTTATGTACATAAAGAGACACACACACACAAATGTAACTCCACGGGGGCACAGTGTAGGGAGAAGGGGAAAATGCAAAATACTGTATTTGTTGCAAAAAAAAAAAGAAAAAGAAAAAACAGAAAGAAAACCCTTGGTTTCTAATTAAAGCTCTGCCTGAAACTCTTTATGGGACATTGAGCAAAGCCACTTGTGAGGACTCCGTTTCCTCAGCTGTGTGAAGGAATAACCACTGTGATTTACAGGATGCCTGTCTGTGCTAAATGCTATACCTTTACATTTCAATATGCATTTACAGAACTGTGCAAGAGGAGTGGAAAGAGGCTGAGTGCATATGTGTACCTGGGGCTAGGGAAGGAGTTAACAAATAAACTTCTAAATAAAGAAGGCAGTCCCAGGATCCTCATGTCTATCAATTTTTAACCAGTTGTGGACCAAAGTCTGGGATTATGCTGAGTGGGTTCAAAAGCCAACTGAAGGTTTTAAACGTTAAGAAGTGGAGGAGGCAGCTTCTAAGACCTTGCACCTTTGATCTCCAGCATTCAAAATCAAATGTGACCATTCCCAAGTGTCTCTTCTGCCCTATATTTCTTTTCTTCTTCTTCTGTGTGTTTTTT